TACCTCCCTCCGCGGGCGGGCGGCTCAGCTGAAACTGCACCGATAGATCCGCGGGCAAAAACGGCCGGCTGTGACGCGCCCGACGCCCGGCGACGGACACCCCTTCTGCGGCGGATCGGGGCACACGGCCGCTGTAAGTACTCACCACTTACCGGGCCCCAGAGAGTCACCACAAATAAACAGGTGGCCGCGCCGGTGCTCGTCACTGCCGCGCCGGTCTCGCCGCCGCCGGGTGACACGCGCCGCCTTTGACCGTCGCGGCGGCAGTCACGCGGCGACGGTGCGCCGTTTTTGTGTGGGCCGCGCCGGTCTGTGAGCTGTGAGGGATCAGCGCCGCTGGGACGCCCGGCTGAATGTGATCGTGACGGCGCGCGGCGCGGGCTGACGGTGAGTGTCACCGCCGCGCTACAGGGAGAGCAGGAGGGAGGGTAGAGCGTGGAGATCGGCTAGCTAGAGACTGGAGCGAGATGTATCTGGAACAGATGGGTATCAAACTGTCCAACGCACTACTCCCTCGCATAAAATATCGCGTGACATTAGCTTCCGGTCAGTTAACAGGCGCAATGCGCATGGCGCATTATTTCCCCTTTTCACTTAGCAAAGTTCTGTGGATCTACGAGAGCAAGGCTGTGGATCTAGCATGCAATAAGAGGTGAATACCTATGTATGTTATATTGCTCATTTCACTAGTGCACGCTCGTAGGTGAGCAGCTGCACACTCAAAGCTATAGGTCATCTGATTCGAGTTTGATGTCATCATCCCTTTGAGCCGGATGTGTCAGTTCAGGAAGGACCACCACTATAGGTGACCACACAGGTAGTAACATTCCATGCAAGAGACGTTCTCCGTATAAAGGTGGGTCACAATCGTCCCTGCGTGAATCAGGTGCGTTCTCCGTATCACATCCTCCGTATACCATCTGGAGCGCCTGGTGTCGGCTCCCGGCCCAGACGCCGTACCTCCTCCGTCCACTGCAGGCTCCAGATGGCCGCACCCACAAACAGCGGCGCCGGCTGACTGGTCGGACGACGCTCTGGCTCCGCGGCGGCAGAATCGGAATCACGCCCGGCGGCCCCCGCGCGCGCGGATGGCGGGAACGGGCAGGTCGCGCCGCGCCAAAAAGGCGCGAAACGGCCCCCGCTGTCCGTCAGCAGAGGTCACTGACGTGTTGACGGCGTACACTGCAGTGCACCGGACAGGGAGCGGCTGGTGACGGTACTGTCTGTCGTCGAAACTCTCACATAGTGGTGATCGTAGTTATCGTTTTATGCACTCGCCACTCTTAACCCTATTCCTGGCGGGCTCCGCCGGGACAAGAAACTGGCGGGGGGGGGGGGGGCCGATTCGGCCCCCCCCTGAGATCTCGAGAACGAAGCAAGATAGCGACAAGCGGTAAACGGCATCGGATACGCACGGCCAAGATCTACAATTTTTACAAAGGTCATTTTCAGGTCAGGTCAAAGATGACGTCACAGGGGTCGAAAAAGTCAAAATGGCGGCGCTAGATATGGAGAGAGTTTTCTCGAATAACTTTCGAATTAGTCAAGATAGGAACAAACTAAGGGCATCATCGTGATCCTCTCGTCAATCCGCATCGAATGATATATATGTTGACCTCGAAAGGTCAAGGTCAAAGGTTGACCTCAGGTCACGTGACCTCGAGGTCATCATGTATATCATTCGATGCGTCTTGACGAGCTGAACACAATGAGACCATCCACGCGTCTGTATCTTGTTCCTGTACGGAGTTATTGGCCAAAAACCTTTGGTGACCTTTGATGACGTCACATGACCTCACAGCTGCCCAACAGCAAAACAGACCTCAAGGTAGTGAAGGTTGATCGTATATGAAGTCATGTATGGTATATGGGGCCATTCCGACCCGTTTTAGTGGTAAAAACAGGGAGTTGATTTTTCCCCCATTGACTTATAATGGGGAGGTCGCGAAATTGACCTGACCTTAGGTCACCGATATCAAAATTCCGAGATATACAAATTGCACATACTGGTACCCTAACTAAACCCTGAAGAGAAGAAATTGATCGGTCAAAAACTCTAGCTCTGGCGTGATTGCAAACTTTTCTGAGGTAGGGTCACCAAACCGCCTCTGGTGACCTGACCTGAGGTCAGATCAACTCAAAATTTTCAGACATGTTGCGTAGAAGCCTTTTAGGAAAAGTCAGAAAATTTGAGCTTCCTAGCTCAACGCGTTTGGGAGAAATAACCAAAAAACCTCAGGGGGGGGGCTCCTGAGGCCCCCCCCCCGCCAGGAATAGGGTTAAGGCCTGGCTACACTATGCGTTTTCTGCGTGCGTTTTTTTGCGAATTTGCGTGTTTTGCGTAATATCGTTCTAGAAAAAAGTTATTATTAATATAATTTCCTTAATATTTGTATAAAAGTTAAAACGTTATATTAATTTAAAGTTTGCATGAAAAAGTATAACAAAAGCGTTATGTCGTTTCTTTCTAGAGCGATATTCCAAAAATCACGCAAACTCGCAAAAAACGCACGCAGAAAACGCATAGTGCAGCCAGGCATTTACTCGCTGGGGTGCTAGGGGTGACTCAAAGGGCATAATCGGGAAATGATCTTCACCACCTCACCACACACCGTCCGAAATTGGTGGAAATTTTGCACCTCCCTCGCCTGGAAAAGAAATTCGTCAGTTTCGTTATAAGTTTGCCTTAACTTGCAAAACAACACGCATAAGAAAACTAAACCTGAAATATTTTTTCAACCCTGGAAAACTTTTTGGGGAAATAACCATGTTCCCACGGAGTGTCCAATGCCGTCTTGAGCGATCCACCAATGCTTATTGCTCATACTGTGTGTGTAGGCAGCGAGCGAATTGTGTGAATCTTGTGTTACACATTATCATTGAACTATTATATGAGCAAGCCATCAGATTTGATGTACTTGCCTCGACTTCTTAGTCTGAGTAAGATATCTTTTAAGGGTTATCGACCCGCTGCATATCATAAATCGTCATAAAAGGCTAGTTATGCGTTCTGCGCTTAGCTAAAACCCCTCTCAAACGAAACGAGCCATTTTGCAGTAGTTTTATGTCATGCCGTTACCCATCTGCGGAGGCGGAAGCCATTACGAGTTCATGACCGCTGCCTGCGGAGAATGTTCTCGTAGTGAGGTCCCACTCATCCCCCTGGCCTGCGCCCCCTGAGGTCATACTGCAGCGGCTCCGCAATCTCACCCCCATCAGAGTAAACGTTTGAACACGGCGCGCAGGTGCCGGCGAAGATGGCCGTCGTGGCCGGCCGCTGCCCACCTGTCCCTTCCACCTGCAGCGCCCTGCACCCCCCTGACCCCCTCCGACCGGTCCCTGACCTCTGCCGTAGTATACTCACCGACCACGTGACGGAACGGCGCCAGGTGGGCACCACCCCTGGATTTTGAGACTCGTCGGCGGTGTGACCCTCGGAACAATTAAATCTTACACTAATTGGTCGGTGAGAATCTGCCGCCAATGCGGCTGGAAACCGAGATCTCCGAGAGCTCACAACCGCGTGCTAGCTACAGGGGTCGATTGTTCCACTCCTCATGGGGAGCTGGAGAGGCACACGTTTACTTACAACCAATGCTTCCTTGCCATGACTCTCCCCATCACGACCGCAGTCTTCCTCCCTCGCTGCACGACAGGTGCGGACCGAGGGAAAATCTGCAGCCCGATCGGCAGTCATGCGCCGGCACGCAGCGACCGTACTACGTGCAATGGTGCTAGTACGATGACGCCGTTCACCGCTGCACGGCTCACGTTCCTGCGAGGTCACCCTGAAGGTTAGGGGGCAGGTGTGGGCCGACCCGAGAGGTCCGCGACTCCGCCCCGCCCCGCCCGCGGAACACCCCCCGGTCGGCGCGCCGTGGCTCTGAGAGGAGCTCTGGCGGAGTGGCGCAGCTCGAGGGGCGCGCAGGTGGCGCCGACCGGACGCCAGATGGGCCGGTCGTGCTCGCCACCACGTGTGCACGGCGCAGTGAGAGGGCGTGCGTGACGCCGGGATCACAGAGGACCGGCGAGCCGGGTGTGCTGGCGCACAGCACACAACACGGAGCACAGGGCACAGAACACAGAGTACACAGCACATGCACAGCACACAGCACACGACACACAGCACACAACACACAGCACACAGCACACAGCACAGCGAACACAGCGAAGCCACCATCGGCGGCGGCGGCATGGTCATCGGATATCGGCGGGAGGGTCTAGGGGGTTGTTTGACTAAGCTAAACAGTAAACGTGGAGTTGGCATTTGTTTTGTTGCGTGCTGTCTTAGGTTCAGTGTCATTCCAGAAGTCTGTGATAGCGACTGTATACCTATGCATTTTTAATACAGAATAGTTAATTGGAAGGTCAAAGTATTCACGTTTTGAGTCGAGGCACTAGGCCAAACTTGCACAGAAGCTCCGTGAGGTTGTATAATTCCTGATTATGTATCTGCTGATCTCCAGAACATTTCATTTCTGAGCTGCTTATCACGTTTAATGGTTTATACCAGCAGGTATTGAATTCACGCCGCACCAACTGCCCTCAGATGATTGGAATTCGGCCAATCATCCCGATCTTCTCTAATCACCGGCTCCAGATGATGAGCGTCATTAGCGGAAATTGGCGTCACCTCCGGCCCTGGGTCTCGGTGGGAGCTCGGCGGGAGCGGGCCTTTTTACCGGTGCCCACCGGTGGCTATTATACACGTACGGAGAGAGACGGGTGGCGGGGCGGCGTCTTAATTAGTGGTCAGCGGCGGCGACTGAGAGACGCATCGCCGCTGGTCTTCCCTCTGACCTCATACGACCCTAGAGGAGAGTTTTCAATGAAGAAAATACTTTTTTGGCTTACGTGTGCTTGCCCGTTCCCGTGAAACAGGAGACGTCGATAGTGCATCTCAGAAAAGGTACGACATTGGTCTGTGGGTGTTATCGTAGCATACCAACAAGTATGTCACATATTTTTTGTCATGTTAAAGTCGTATTCGTAGGCATGATTCATCATAGATAATATGAATATTTGGCAGCGTCATATATTTGGCAGCGTCTCAACCTCATAGTTATAACAGTCATCACTTTATTTGTTCAATATTGACATTGCAGTAACAACCCGAATAGCGAGGATCCGCCATGATCAGCCGTTTTTTTAGTTAAATCCTTTACCTTCAGGTTTGGACAGGTAAATCGCTTTTCCAGGTTTTACATGCGGCTTGCAAAATGCGTGCATACCCGAAAACATAACGACATCTTTAGTTACTTACAAGAGGAACACTGAACACACAAATGGATCAAGGAACGCAGAACGTGCAGCCCATCCCGAAGCCCCGGATCCCGGAATCAGCCGGGCACGGCCACTTTAATCTGAACGATTCTGAACGACAATTCTCGAACTTCCTCACCGACTGCGGGAAGCAGGTGATGTTTTCCTCGAGGTCCAGGCCACACACGCTGAACCTAGGACATCCGCGTCTATGACACTGCAGTGAAATATCAATGCATTCCTGTTTGTATGTGCCATCTTGTAGACGGCGTGACACGCAGGCTCTCTCGGAGGAAGGAGGTAGCGTTGGCTTCGGCGACGGGGAAGGTACTACAAACGGATTGAAGCTGTCGCAGAACGTGCAACCCATTCCGAATCCTCGTATCGTGGTATCTGCAGGACAGGGCTGCTGGAGTCGGAAAGCTTCCGACTGACAGTTCTGGATCACCCTCAAAGATTGCGGGAAGCAGGTGATCTTCTCCTGCAGGTCAAGGCCACACACTGTGGAGCTAGGACAGCCGCGCCTTTTGCATCTTTCCGAGATGTCAACGCATTCCTTTTTATCGGTACCACCATGCCGATAGAGTACCACGCAGGCCCTCTTGGGAGGAGGAGCAAATGGATTGCCGCCGATGCAGAAAGTGCATCCCATTCCAAAGCCTCGGATTCCTGCATCTGCAGGGCAGGGCTGCTGAAGTCGGAAGGATTCTGAACGGCAATTCTCAAAGTCCTTCACCGTCCGAGGGAAACAAACAATGTTCTGCCGTAGGTCGAGACCACACACAGTGTCACCCGGGCAAGCTCGCTGTTTGCACTGGTCTGATATATCAATACACTCTCGCTTGAAGATGCCATCTTGTAGACGACGCACCACACAGGCTCTTTCAGTAGCCGAAGGGATAGTTGGCCTCGGGGATGGATTTGGTACCACAAATGGATTTCCGCCTACACAAAAGGTGCAACCCATTCCAAAGCCTCGGATTCCTGCATCTGCAGGGCAGGGCTGCTGAAGTCGGAAGGATTCTGAACGACAATTCTCAAAGTCTTTAACTGATCGTGGGAAGCAGACGATGTTCTCGTTGAGATCAAGGCCGCAAACGGTATCACCAGGACACGCTTTTCGTTTGCAGCGAGCTGAGATGTCAACACACTCTCGTTTAACGACACCTTTTCCTAGGCGACGTACCACGCATGCCCTTGTAACAATCGGAGCCGGAGACGGCGAGGGTACTACAAATGGATTGAAGCTGTCGCAGAACGTGCATCCCATTCCGAATCCTCGTATCGTGGTATCCGCAGGACAGGGCTGCTGGAGTCGGAAGGCTTCCGACTGACAGTTCTGGATCGCCCTCACTGATTGTGGGAAGCAGGTGATCTTCTCCTGCAGGTCTAGGCCACACACTGTGGAGCTAGGACAGCCGCGCCTTTTGCATCTTTCCGAGATGTCAATGCATTCCTTTTTATCGGTACCACCATGCCGATAGAGTACCACGCAGGCCCTCTTGGGAGAAGGAGCAAATGGATTGCCGCCGATGCAGAAAGTGCATCCCATTCCAAAGCCTCGGATTCCTGCATCTGCAGGGCAGGGTTGCTGAAGTCTGAAGGATTCTGAACGACAATTCTCAAAGTCCTTCACCGTCCGAGGGAAACAGACAATGTTCTCCCGTAGGTCGAGACCACACACAGTGTCTCCCGGGCAAGCTCGCTGTTTGCACTTGTCTGATATATCAATACACTCTCGCTTGAAGATGCCATTTTGTAGACGACGCACCACACAGGCTCTTTCAGTAGCAGAAGGGATAGTTGGCCTCGGGGATGGATTTGGTACCACAAATGGATTTCCGCCTACACAAAAGGTGCAACCCATTCCAAAGCCTCGGATTCCTGCATCTGCAGGACAGGGCTGCTGAAGTCGGAAGGATTCTGAACGACAATTCTCATAGTCTTTAACTGATCGTGGGAAGCAGACGATGTTCTCGTTGAGATCAAGGCCGCAAACGGTATCACCAGGACACGCTCTTCGTTTGCAGCGAGCTGAGATGTCAACACACTCTCGTTTAATGGCACCACCTTCTAGGCGACGTACCACGCATGCCCGTGTAACAATCGGAGCCGGAGACGGCGAGGGTACTACAAATGGATTGAAGCTGTCGCAGAACGTGCATCCCATTCCGAATCCTCGTATCGTGGTATCCGCAGGACAGGGCTGCTGGAGCCGGAAAGCTTCCGACTGACAGTTCTGGATCGCCCTCACTGATTGCGGGAAGCAGGTGATCTTCTCCTGCAGGTCTAGGCCACACACTGTGGAGCTAGGACAGCCGCGCCTCTTACACCTCTCTGATATGTCAACGCACTCCTTTTTATCGGTACCACCGTGCCTATAGAGTACCACGCAGGCCCTCTTGGGAGGAGCAAATGGATTGCCGCCTCTACAGAAGGTGCATCCCATTCCAAAGCCTCGGATTCCTGCATCTGCAGGGCAGGGTTGCTGAAGTCTGAAAGATTCTGAGCGACAGTTTTGGAAGTCTTTTACTGATCGCGGAAAGCAGGTGATGCGTTCGTTGAGGTCCAGGCCACACACGGTGTCCCCGGGACATCCTCGCTGTCGGCACCGGGCTGAGATGTCGATGCATTCCCTCCGGACGCCGCCGCCGCTGCGTCGAACCACACACGCTCTGTTGGTGGCAGGCGCCACCGAACCTGAAAATCCGGGACAATGGTAAGGAACTGTGCGATAGTGCATTCATTTTCAGATATCTTTCACGTATAGCATGAACGATTAATTGCCTTGTGTCTATAAAAGTTGACTACATAATCTTTTATACAGGGACATGGGTGGCAATTGCGTCACACCTGCCGCCAAAGGTCAGTGCCTCCACCCCTGAACTTGTCACCTGTCTGACGGACATGAGTGCATGGCAGTACGGTGCTGCCCTTTGTCGACTTTCGTTTCAATGTCACTGTCACTCTGTCAGGTCTAAGATCACCATCGATATTTAGGTGACAGAAGCCTCACGAAACCAAAACTTATTAAATTGTTAACGTGTAAGGGTTGAATCTATATCAAATGTCTCAGATTTCTTCTGATGAAGCAGCATTTGCTGTTTTTGCCTTCATATTTTTTAGGTATAATAAATTGGTGCCCCAACCGTACGGACGTTTATTTAGCTTTAATGCAATGGATATTAAGCCCTTTGACGTGAGACTCTGGAAGTGTGTGCGTTACGTGCAGTGCTGGTGATGTTAAAGGGACTATCCCACCTTTAACATGGGGTTTGAGTTGAGATAGCCAAGTTTGCGGCGAGGTTCAGAAACCACTATCTTTCTAGTGGAGGTTTATTTGCCATTGGGTCTACAGTGCAGGGATATTTCTATCTCGCACTGCTCTGGGATGCAAAGATAAGAATTTGTTATCTTTGCATCCCTCTGAGATGCAAAGATAAGGTCTCGAGGGTTCATAGCCAAAAATCAAGAGTTCAAGTGATGATGGGTCAATAACCGAACGGCATTTTTAATGGTTGTTTATGTATGAAACTTATGAGATAAAAACAAACCACTGTAAATCTATTGTTACATAGATGAATACATTTAAATATAATATTTAATTGATTAAGAATAAACCTCAACATAGAAAGATATAGGATTCCTCATGGCTCACTCGTGGAAGATCGGATATCTTTTCCTCGCGTGTTACAGAAAAACCTCGCTCCTTCGTCGCTCGGTTTTTCAGTAACCCGCTTGGAAAAGATATCCTTATCTTCCACTCGGAGCCATGAAGAATCCTCTATATCTATCTAGGTTGCAACCCCCGCGGCCTCTTGGTGTTGAAGAAATTCGTTCCCTTCATTTGAAAATGGGCCTTGTACAAGGCCCTATCTTCAACATGGAGCGACCGTTAGTGTGACGTCACCTCGTTTAGTCATTCTGATTTAAATGGGTTTGTTCGTTGAAAAATCGCCTAAAACTTGGTCTGAACTTTGTTGTGGTGCCTACAGAGTAAAAAGAATCAGCTTTATGACAGTAATGTGGCCTGGGGAAGGAGGTAATTTTGGGCTGTGACGTCACATATTTGAATATTTGTGTTTGGAATATGGGAAGCCTAAGATGTTTAATGAAAAATAAATGCCAGAACCGTGTTCCTGGTCATCCAATCTATAAAGTCGGGCACAATTTAACTGGTTTTAACAACATTTTAGAAGGTGGGATAGTCCCTTTAATAGTTAGACCTTTTGACGTGCGTAGGTACCTTTGATGCAGTAGTTGCAGCCTCTGCCGAAGCCCACGATGGTTGTGCCCGATGGACAAGGCTGTGACTTTCGCTGGGACTCAGAACCACAATTTTTAACATCCCAGCTATTTTTAGGCAGGCATACGACTTCGTTTGCTGGGCTGAGAGCGCACATTTCGCCTCTGCTGCATTTCTTCAGCAGGCAGTCGGCGAGGATAACCCTGCACTTTCGGACGGAGCCGCGGACGAAGCAGGCTCGCCGGAGTCGAAAGTAGTCATGGGGCGGTGCTGAGGACAGATGGGCTAGGTTAGAGCAAGGTTAGACGGTTGTACCGCAATTGTCGGTTATAGAGTGCTAGTTTGACGTTGATCGTCTCAGAAGTCAGCAGTCATAATCACTGCGTTACAATGGGTACAGAAGCACTTGGGGATAATATTGATTGAGAAATACATTGCAGCTTGTCAGGTAAATGAAGCAAAGTGGAGGAATAATTGGCTGCCCCAAAAGGGGACAGTAGCGACGGAACACCTTCAATTAAGGGGGGGGGGGGCACTGCCGACTTTTGGTCCCATTCTTTCCATGCGACGCCCATAGAGGTTATGTTAAAATGGCAAAATCAAAGGGGGGCACGGTGCCCCGGTGCCCTCCCCGTTCCGCCGCCTATGAAAGGGAGGCTTGGGTTTGAAATGATTGCATTGTTGCGATACAGTGAATTGTTATTCAAACTGGTGACGATAACAATGTGGAACACACCAGCAAATGTCTCCGCGGATTATAACTATTAGGCCGTTTGGCTTGGTCTGTTTGTACTGATGTCTTATGTGGGCAGTAAATCGGTACGTCCGTATATCTGTACTCACTGGTGGCGGCAGCGGGCGTCAGCAGCTGCAGCTGCACCAGCAGCAGCGCCGGCAGCAGCAGCAGCAGCGGGCGCCGGGGAGGTCCCATGGTGACGCCGGCGGCGCAGTGTCGGTCTGGTCCGCTGCCGTCCGTCCGTCGGCCGGCTATATAGTGACGGCCTCTGTGACGGGTGACGGCCAAATCGCGCCGCCCACGTGCAACAGTGGGCCACCGACGCCCGTCCCCCGCCAACGTCACCACCGGCGTCCCACCGACAGCCTGTCCGAACGTCACCCGGTGAGAGGCGGACTATAACGTCGGGAGAATTATATTTTAGATTTGACTTCTTGCTAGTAGTTTATAACATATCTGTTGCAAACCTTCAGTTGAATATTCTTATTTTAAACAAGCATTTCGAGACACATTATATGGTGTTTGTAAGCGGAATTCAGCCTCTCCTCTTATTCTTTTATGAGGAATATTGGCCTGTGTGCCAATTATTGAGACGCTGATGCTGGATGCAGAAGCATTGCAGCTCCAATGCTTCCATGCTGCGAGATAAATATTCCACAAATGACGAGATCTTTGTGCGCACAGTGCACACGGCACACTGCACAGTACAAAGTGCACAACACATCGTATTTCTGAGGATAGCCTCCACGCCCCGCACTCTGCACTCGCTGGAAGTGACATCATGCCCCCTTCACTTCTCAGTGGGGTTCCACCGTGTCCCCCTTCATGGTGTTGCTGAGGCAATCGCCTCATTTCCGGCACTCTGTCAGTGCAGTGGCACATTCCAGAGACACGCGTCTAATGACTCCCCCCGGGTGTAATTACCGGCTCTTTGAGTCATTGTTCGGGCAGCTCACTCACACGCAGCGGGCTCATAAAGCGGCTGCTGGAAGGGCGCCGTTTCACAGTAAGGCCGCGGTGAGGTCGGGTGTGAGCGTTAGGTCCGGGCCGTTACCGCTCTTCCCGCAGTGGCCAGCAGGTCTGCCCTGGGGGTGTGAACACTCACCAAGGAGGCACGCGCGCCACGCACACCGGGCTTCCGCTTCCGGCCGGGCGATGATGCGACTTCTGTAGGTATCGACCTGAGACTGTCGGCTGGGACGGACAGGCGACACTACCTCGGTGTTGGACGCTTGAGCACGCCATACCTAAGGTGAGGACTCTCAAGTCTCAATGGCTCAGAAGTGGGAAACATTTTCAAATGATTGAGCATATCTCCTCCATGTTCATTCGCTTATCTGTTTGCAATAGGGTTCCCCGGTAGATGTACAGGGGTGTGCACTAGAATCCGGAAAAACTTAAACTTGGTGTATCATATAAACTTTTTTAAATATATCACTCTTCTTTTCCTCATAGGTTTGTGACTTGAGTCGCCTTCGATCGGAAACAAAATAAGTAGAGATGTCCTCTGAGTTGGAGCGCCGCACCGCAATTTTTGTGGCCCTCCGTTGCGGCCGCGCGCCCAAGGAAATTTTGGACTTATTTCAGTTCCCGAAATTGACCGTGTACGACTTTGCGAAGCTGCTCAAAGAGTCTGAAGAGACGATGAGTGAGTCTCTGAATCCCAAGAGGAAGGAACAGGGCCGATTCGAGGTTCGGAAGCGGAATAAGGACTTCTTGGAGCAGCCCGAGGCCATTATTGGAGAAGGTCCGAGCCTCCCCATGCAGAAGGTGACCTCGAGGCTCAATCTGCGCAGGGCAACAGTTCTTCGGGCCATTCACGAGGATCTCCGATATCATGAGCTACGTTCTCGAGGTGAGGCAGATGCTCTCAGAAGTCATAAAGACCAGGAAACTCGGAGATGTGAGCTGCTCATCACTTCTTTGAAGCACAGAGCTGCCGGCCGGATCCGCTTCTTTCTCTGCGAGAAGATATTCTGTGTCCGGTCGACCACTAGCTGTGGGGCGTCCTTGAGAGAGAGTCCAACAAAGGAACCCTCAACACTTTCGACTCCCTGAGGACCGCCATTATCCAGGCCGTGACCAACCTAACCCGGGAGCAGGTCACCAACGCCTGCGGCAGGTTCCGGCTTCCTGTGGAGGCTGTGATTGGAGCTGGAGGGGGTTAAGTCGAACGATAGTGCAGAGGAGGGATCAGTCTTCGCTATAAAAGTAAAAATTTTGAAGTGAAGCCTTGCGATACCAAATAAACCCTTCAGTTCTTTCCCTTAGTTTGTTTTCCGGATTCTAGCGCACACCCCTGTATAAAGTCACCGATGTGTAACGCACTGATGCCGTATCCATTTCCCAGGCTCTCCCGATATCTCGGGGCGGAGCGCTCGCGCCTCTGATGGCTGCGCTAATTCGGCGGCGGCTCGGTGGCTGGCCGCGCGGTCATTAAAGATGGGGGCCGGTCCTCCCGCGGCGGCGGCGCCGTCTGATCACCGGCCGGCGATAAGAAACCATGATAGATGGACGGCGCCGCGGCCCGGCGCGCCTCTGAAGTGCGCCAGCGACTGCATCGTTAGCCGGCGCCGCGCCATGCAGTCAGCTCCGTGAGAGCTGTAAACAGCGCCGGAGCTGCCGCGGTCGGAGAGCTGCCGCCCCGTGGGTGTTTAGTGTTTACGCTTGCAAATAGCGCGCTTCACTTGGCTGCCGGTGATGACCGTCCCCATTTGGCTGGTGAGAAACATTAAAGACGCAATGGCCTTATTTGGGCCACCTTTTGGAGATAATCAAGTACCTACATGTAACATGAAGGAGGTATAGTCAAAAGTTTGGGGCTATATTTATGCGAGGGGGCAGTTGACACGCCATCAATCATACATGCCTATTTCATATTTCAAAGCATATGGACGCGCGGTTTAGGAGGCGGGTGGCCTGCCATTTGGTGATCAAATGCCAGAGTGATTATGCTGTACCAACACAGTGTTCTATCCGTTCTGACACGTGACAGCCATGCCTTTTTTACCGTAATCGGTCCCCAGACGTGGGCGGTGTGGGTGGGAAGGAGATCCGGTGCTAGAGCTAGAAGCCGCGATAGCTAGACGGCAGACGCCGCTCAGCTGGCAAAATGTTCCTCAGCGGATTTTTTCAGTGACTCGGTTCTCCTATAGACAGACAGCCATTGTTATCTCGAAACGTTTTCTCCTTTTAAGAGCCGTGGCTTGGGATGATTATGCTTCATTTCATGGTCATTTGAAATCGATACATTTCTTGTATGCTTGGATACTTAAAAATACCGATTCCTATCAGTTGTCACTGTCGCACAAGTCGCAGACCACTGACAGAGCTGAGTGTAGTTCAGCGATCTCTGATGTCCAGAGCGTCCAGTAACCCCTCCCACCTGGAACGTCCCGACAGTCCGACACTCCCCGTCCCCCGGCGCGGCGGTGGGGCGCCATTTCCGGGTGGACGGCGGCGATTCCACAGCAGCTCCCTGTTCTCAGTCGGCGCTGCACGTGGTGGGGCCCCGAACGCTGAAAATGCCGCCTTTGTCACAGACGCGGCGCAGGCTGTCACTTCCACGGGTGACGCGCCGGAAGGGAGGGTGCAAGCGACTAACGGACCGCTCGCCCCGAACGATTTGTGACCGGCAGCGACCAATTAGGACTAACAGCGGCAGGGGGACGGGGCTGCCGCCTCCTGAGAGTGCTGTGCCAGTCTGAATGGCTTCTTGGTGAAGTGACGAGTTATGGTTTCTTCAAATGACCGAGTGCCATGGGACCGCTAATTGTGGTGAAATTAGGCTGGTCGGGTTCGCTCCCCTACTGCCCAAACGAACACAGAGCTCCTGAAAAGTGGAAATCTGCGACTGAGGGGGTTGAACGGGAATTACTTGTGAAGCACCATCTTCTGAACTAGATTTTGGTCTTGAGTGGACTAGATTTCCGTCCATCACAACAGTCATGAAGAGCCATCAATGAAGAACCATTAGCCAGATAATGGCCATCCTAATTGTCGAATCTTTATCTAATAGTCAAATTTCTGCTCCCGCACTGTGCACTGGTCAAGAAGATAGAATTTCACGGATATCAGTGCAAATTTTATCAAGGAGATAACAACGGTCTCAGTGACAGCGGCCAGCCTTCCACTCCTCTCATTATCACGGTGGCATCCGACTACTGGGTGTCGTGAAGCATCTGACACGTAGGTAGCAGGCGCGCCACCCAATTAACAGTGTCCGCGGCGGCCAGCCATCAGCGCGGCGAGCCGCAGCTCGGGAGCCGGCCGGGCGACTGACATTGACGACACTGACCTCCCGACAGCTGACGCTGCGTCGGCCACCGCCGCGGCCGCGCCGCAGATGCCGCCGCCGCGCGCCGCGCCAGATGGGCCGATAGTGGCGCTCTCCATTCCGCGGCAATCACTGCGTGGCGCGCGCATTCCGGCGCGCCGGCCACCGGCCGCCGCTGATTGCATTTCGTTAGGCACGGTTCATTACCTTACGCACAGAGGCCGCGCCGGTCCCGGACTAATTAAATCAGCGGCGGGAATGCGCGGTGCGCGACTGATCGTCGCCGAAGCTCCACCCTATGGCGCGGACCCCGCCCACCGGCTCCCGCCAAAAAACAGCCGCTCCACGGCCGGCCGAGGCGCGCCGCCGCCGCCGCCGCCCCCACGCGTCACCGAGAGAAGCGGCGCGCGGTAAATAGCGCGGCGCGTGTGACGCCGCACACAAAGACGCCGGGGGGAGGGGGGTGTAAGTCATCAGACGTCATCGCAGTCGGTACACGTCACGGCTCGTACGTCAGGCGGCTCGCTGAGTGGCGGGGGAGGGGACGGGCGGTCCTGCCGCACCACGTGTTGCAATCAGGATGGAGCCAGGTGTGCAGGGAGCGGGGACCGGCGCCGGAGCTGCTGCATGCGGAGCAGCTGCCGTACGCGCAGCTATTGTCTGATGTTTGCCTGGCCTGTGGCCGACAGCGGAGGGTCGGCGCGGCTAATGAAAGGTGCGTGTCATCCGACCCGAACCGAAAAAGGTGCCGACAGCTCGTTACGTTGTGTTCATTCCTTGTTCTGGTGTTTGATTAGGCACACAAGCCCGATACTTTGGTGCACACAACAGTGTTTACCTTTAAACTAGCTTTCAGTACACCGTTCAAATTGATGCGTACGTGCAGGTAAGTTAGTAAAGGCTGCAGTTGCACACTACTCGTATGTGCATGAATGACATGCTTTGCGTTTTTATACTAGCTGCTATGGAAATTATCAT